TTTGCTTTGCCTGAGACACAAGGCTTTTGAATTGTGGAAAACGTGCACAAGTTTTTGGAAAGTTTCAGGCTTCCCATGCTATAATGAGGGTAGCAAACATAGCTGTGAGTTTTCTAATTTTCCCAAGTGTTCTGGTTTGACAAGATTTAAATACATAAAGTAAGCCCCAGTTTTACAACTACACCTACTCCATAATAAATACTGCTTAATCACCTGCAATAAATTGCTTAACGCGATGGCATGCTTTGAATGAGTACTGATGCCTCAGTCTTCAGAGAAATCAGATTTTATAACAGCAGGCATAGCCTTAGCTACCAGCCAGTGCTCATACCTTGCCAGGCTTTACTTGTACAGTCTGGAGTTTTAGCACTCAGAGGCCTATCCTGGGAAGCACTGAATAGAAACTCTCAGGTTCTGGAATCTTAATTATTCAGGTGATGATAATGCTGTGGGTGCAGATTAACTATAATGAATCTGCACTTTAATACTTAAATTAGATGTATATTTTTCTGATGTGCAATAGAATTTAGATGTGGAATTTTTAAGTGCAAAGTATGACTATTCTGCGCATGAGAAATTCATGCTTAATTGCTCTTGTAGGTAGCATGTCCCAGTATATATAGCATATATGCTTAGTACCAAGTGGCTTTCTTTTTGGAATGAAATGTCTTTGGACTTTGAAAAATAAAAGTGGAACAGGAATTAGAATTTAGTGATTTCCTATTACAAGTGACTTCATTGTTTTACAAGACCTCTGATCTGTCTGGGTGCTAGTGGGGAAACCGCTGCAGTCCCAGAGGTAAAGTGGTTTGCCCATGCTGTCCGGATCCAATGACAAAGTTGTGACGTAAGTCCAGAGTTCTTCTCTTTGACAATGAGATTGGCATTAGTGTGAGCACTGTACATGCTTACAAATGATTTCTAGGCAGTAGGAGAATCAGAATAATTTTATTTTCCTGTAGACAGGGGTGGCCAGTGCATATAGTTCAAAACTGTTGTGCTTGCTGATGTAGAATATTTAGTCTTGACATTTCTCTCTTAACCAGATGTGCTGTCACTTCTTGTATATTATTGCAAAATCAATACTGCTTATTCAAAATCATGGTTGATAAATATCTTTTGAAATGCTGGCTGACATTTTCAACATAGTCATGTATTAAGACTGCAGGTTGATTTCGTTCTTTTTGGTTTGTTTATTTGTTTTTTGTGGCCTTGTGTTCAACCTGATGTCTTTCTACCTCAGTTCTGTTTCCCCAGGATAAATGCGTGTGCCCTTTGAGCCCTCTGATAAAGCAAACTTTGAGATGTCCTAAACAAACTTGCGTAAAGCCAAGTTCTTGTGATCAACCTGGGTAAATAACAGCAGGCTATAGTTAACCGATTTTGTTCCTGAAGTGTACATACTCTGCTTTACTCCAGTCTGTCATTACCCCTGTATCTTTTCTTTCTAAATAAATTAAAAAAATTACAGTAAGCAATCCAGCTCCATGCAAAGCACTGCAATTTTGTGAATTGATCCATTAAAAACACCACCATAGTGTTATTAAGTCTCTATGTGAAGTCTTTTGAAAAAAAACCTCACTTTTTTTCCCCAAGAACAGTGTGGTTTATGTGCTTTACAACTCATAACTAACATCTATCTGAGACTAGCTCACCTTTAGTTGCCAGTTAATGATCAGTATCTTGACTGTTATAGCTTTTCTGATGTGACGGAATTAAATGTATAGTTACAAGTTTCTTCAACAATATGGCCACTATCACTAACCTGTCATCAGTCTTTATTTTTATGTTGGTTACGTAATACATATATACATTTCAGGTATGATAAGATGTGTTTCTGATAAAATGCGCAGGTCAGTTTGGAAGTTAAGACAGGCACAATTTGTGCTACTGTTTTCAAAGCAGTCTCACTATCAAAGGCCTTTAATATAAAACCTTTGAAATTCAAACTACCAATGGTGACTTTCTCTAGTAGTGTGAACCCTTTCAGCACTGGGACAAGTAGTCAACTTCATTAATGAGTTCTTTTAGAAGAAGCACTGTGCAAGCCTCTGAACCAGTTGAGCATGGCGTTTTGGCTGGTCTTTATTTAGGATATACATGACTGAAATATTTTCATAGGATAGATGTATTTTCTTTATTTATATGCCAAGTTCTTGAATTATTCTGCATTTCCAGAGAGGTGGACTGCTGCACTGATTTCATATATTAATATATAGTATGTTCAATGTAACAGTAATAGTGGCTCTTAGTGTTGTGCTTAACACGATTTGCCAACTCCTAATTAATAAGCAGAGACATAGAGGAGCAAGCTGTTTCAAACAACCCAGGAAAAAGAGTGATCTTCCAAAGGGTGCTGAGGCTGGGGCAATTCAGCACCATGAACTCACGAAGATGATTAGATACCCTGTAAGCACAGAGACCTTCTGTCAGAAAGATAGGCAGGAAATGGATAGTAGCATACTGGTGTGTTGAGGGTGCTCTAGCCTATGGTAGCCTTCTCCATTGTTATACAAGTTACTGGAACCACTGGAGGGCCTGAATATGAATGTGGGCCACAGTTTAGCGAGTCCTCCTTCTTGTGTGATTGCTAATAGCTGCAAGTAGGAATACGACCAATTAAACTTCTGAATCAGTGTGCAGGGTTGTGTTTAAAAAATGTTCATAGTATGATTAGAATCTTAGGGACCTTATACTACAAAAGTGACAACTAGCTGGTGCACTCAGAAGGGGAAAACCATAAACTTCTTACTACAAAAATCTTCCATGGAGAATGTGATGTTCCTATCAGCTAACCAGTTCAATTCAGATTTCTTTCTCAAATGTTTAAACTCTGTTCTCAAAATTAGAAACTTCCCACTGTAGCACACCTCTTTGTTCATTACTATAGCTCATCCTGCATGAGCATTTTAGAGACAAGAGACTACCTTTGTGCTCGTCGCATTACAGCGTGTATACAGCACTGTGAACAATGGCTTGGCCTGGATTTCTTCCTTCACATCTCTTGCACAACTGAAATGTTAAGTGCTACAAATTCAACAAAGACTTAGAACTACTGAGGTTCTGCACTCTGTGAAATAACAATTTTGTAGCTGTTCATGGCTTGGACTGGAGGTCAATTCCACGCAGAAAAACACAACACACTATGAAAGTCGAAATGGAAGGAGTAGCTACTGAGGGATGTCAGGTTTTCAGAAAATGTTCCCACCTGTGTTTTAGGCTATTTTTGTCATGCTGTGAAGACTGCTGAAAATGTAGAGATTGTCTTCTAGTATCCATTCCTGAGTTACACAGCTGCTGGATCCTAATGGGTCCAGGATGCAGACCCAAGGATTTTTACTCAATCCTGATAAGTTATTTAAGTGTAAATAGAGTTTGAAATAGTTATGAACTAGTAATGTATAAACCAAAACAAGAAACTAAATATTACCGGGAAAGGAAGAAACCAGTAGGAAATGTGTGAAAGTAAAGCACAGAATTTAAGTGCTTGCGATAAGTTTCTCTAAGGTGTCTCAATGACTTTGTAATATAATGACCAAGGAAACAAATGCTGTGGAGAGACAGGGCAGCACTATGCTTTTTATAGCAAATTTGATATTGGGCTGGACTAATAAAGCAAATGCTTCCAAACTCTGGTCTTTCTAATGCTACTTGAAATGCAGCATATCCGGGTAGAAATACTTCACCTGTTCTGTATCAGTAATAAACTGTTCTGAAGAGAGGAAAAAATGTTAAAGATTTAATCGAAGACTAGCATTTTTTAGAGGTTAGTATATAACTTATGAACTTGGAAATGGCCAGGACTCAAGAGTTAGTGGGTTCCTGCCCTTAAAATTGTATTAGGTGTTTAAAGTCTGAGATGACTGATTACTGTCTGATATAAAGAATGCCTCTTGCAACACTGCGATCAACACTGCTTTAGCACGTCATCACTGGAAGTAAAGGGCATTATAACTTCATACACAACAGTCTCTGTGCAATACAGTTTTTTACTTCACTACTGCTTTTAAAAATGCTCAAAGCTGGGTGTGTGTGTGTGCTCTGGAGAAATTTCAGCTTCACAGCTAGAGTTAGGGACAAAAAACATATATTCACTGCTGTAATAACAAGAGCTGTAGAGAAACAGTTTAGAGCAAATGTCTGTCTTGAATTGCTCACATTTTGCTTTCTTATTTGAACAGATACTTTCCATGCTTGACCTTAGTTCAGAGGTAAATCAGAACAGGAACGAAGTCAAATCTTTAGAACTATTGTTAGAGTTCTTTCAAGGTTGATTAATATAATTGTATAAAATTCTATCCAAATATTTCTACAAATGTCTAAACGTATAAATATGTAGATAACATGGATAGGTGAATAATTTGGGGAATGATTTTTTTTCCTCCATTAGTGACCTTTTATAATACTGTAAAGGTTTCAAAGTTTATATACGATTTCAGTTATTCTGAATTTGCTAATTAAAATAATGCAGTGCCAGGATATTTTACGTTGTTTTACACTACCTAATGTCAGATTTATAAGACATGGAATTAATTGTTTTAGTTGGGAAGGTCTGAACCATGCATGTGTTAAATGATGGCTTTGGTTATTATGAAGGAGAAACATTTGGTAAGTATACATCAAGTGGCTTGAAACAATAAGGTACATGAGACATCTTGCCTCCCATTTTTTGAGTCCTCCTTCAATTCTAGTAATGCTTGGAATACCAAACTTGTGAATTCAGGGAATTAAAAATCAGAGCAAAGTTGTCACCTAGTAAACCACGCTATTTGGAGCAGTACTGACTTATAACTATGAAGAATTTGAACTGACCATGCAGAATTCGATTATTTCAGTTGTTGAGGTGAAGGAAATTCCTTCTGGAATTTAGATTTTCTTCCATTTGTTTTTAGTTATGCTGTAGTAATGTAGAACAAACCTGAAGTTTTTATGTTTCAGGTGGTCTTGTTTAACAATGTGTGTTGCCTAAACTGGCTTCGTCTGTATTTGCTTGCAGGATCGCACAAGGACTTTTGACATGCATTCACTGGAGAACTCCCTAATTGACATAATGAGAGCTGAAAACGATTCACTGAAAGGTAAATTTAGAAAGAGACTATTTCCTGCAGTAAATAACTGGGAAGACGTGTTTACCTAGAGTAAGAAACCTCAGTTTGGGGTAGGAAAAGTAAAGTTACATTGTGCACCTAATGCATGTTGGTCAGTTTGGGGAGGCCTCCCTTTTTTTTTCCGTTGTCTCTACATGAAGCTGTTGCAACACATAAGGACTTGGGTGTGTTTTGTCTTTATACAAAACAATGAGAAACAAGCATAAGCTGATATTTTGTGTTAGTTGCCAGTGTTGTTTGTAATAGATGCAATATATGCAGCCTGTAAAAATGATCAACTTCAAGCATCTTGAGCAGCACAGTGAAATGTGACTTCTTGCTTACTAGTGACGTAGTTCTTTCTGCCTTGGGGAAGCATGAGGTTTATCTATGCCATTTTGAGAAGAAGACAGAAAATTTCATCACTTTTTTTTTAGTTCTTTACCTCTCTTTTTGTTGTGGCATTGAATTGCAGAATTCTTTGTAGCACTGGGAAAGGAAGGTTGAACTGACCTGCAGTTAGGATTTATCTTTTTTTTGGCAAAGGTAATATTTCTCTGAATATACCTCAACTTACAAAGTGTTCAAAGCATTGTCTACATATTTTATCTAAACCTGCATAGAAACTACTTATGTTATAAAATTGAGAAGTCTAGTTTTGTATAATGAGTAATCTATTTCAGTTCAGTGGTTACTTGTGTAAGTAAATACTTAAGCTCATTATCTAAGCATTCAGTTTTGTTACCAGTCATGAGACCACTAAAAAAACAAGCCTGCAATTGTGGTTTCTGAAAGTAAATTTCTTTTCAAGATATCAAGGCTTGTAGTGTTCATGTAATCTGACTTGTTTTATAGTGACCAACCTTTGATAAACTGGCAATACCCTGCACTTGTTGCATTCACTGTGGTCTGAAATGCAGCTTGCGTTTCACATCCCCAGTATACCAAGAAATACACTTTCCTACTGAAATGACAAGCAGAGCTTGATGTAGACAAAAGCAGTGCCAAATGAAATAAAACCAAAAATACATTCCCTCCTTATGTACTGGGGTCCAGGCTTTTATTAGCGACAAGTAGTAATAGCTTTCTTTCGTTTTATATGCTGTCTGGCAACATTCTATGCCCCCAGCATTGTATACCTAACCAAGAATCAGGTGCCCTTCCTTGACTGCAGCACCTGGGATTTGCCCTGAGACCTTCTATTCCACAGTCAGGCAGGCCCAACCCAGCTTTTAGCTGATGAAATCTGGCAAGATAACAACCCAAGGTGACATGGCTGTAGAACAAATAAAATTTCCCTTTAAATATTAATTCAACAGAGTCAGGTTCGTATGTATTTATATTCAGTAACTAAACAAGGGTAGTTCTGCATAGTAACAAGATTTTTAGTTTAAGTGCTTCAAAAGGATTCTTTGCAATTTAAATATTTACGTGCTTTACCATGTTTAAAGAATGATGGAATAAGTGTGTCAGCAAAGAAGACGTATAGTTGTGATACATGTTAATTCCTGCTTAAGCTTGATTGTTAATCCCCTATGCAGGGCCATTTATGCTTTGCCTAAAGTTTTGTGTGTGTTGCATTCTACTGATCAAAACACACTAATATCAATTGGGAATTGCTCTGGGAATGATTTCTTAAGTTCTTTATAAATTGTTCTGTTTATGATTAATAGTTATAAAACTATAAGGAAAAAGCCTTGAAACTGAGATGAAAAATTTACATGATCCTACGTGAAATACTTTGTTGTGAAGTCTCATTTTTCAAGGATTTCCTTGGCAAAACCATTAAGTTTGCTCAAATGAAATGTGCAGTGCACTGAATTTGCTGCTTATCTGGCATAGCATACAGTGACTTAGTTGCTGCAATGTACTTAGGAATGGATCTTAACTCAAACTAGCATCTGCTGTGTTGTGGTAATGCTGCAGTGATCATCCGTAAGTAGGGCGGGATTTGGGAGGAGAGGAAATAACTTTAGTTAAACCAACTGACAGCTGGAAAAAACCTGTAACTTGGTGGTAAAAAACATATTTCATGTCAAGTCTGAAGAAGGGTCTGTGGTCACAAGCCTTTTGGTTTTTATTCATCTGTATCAGTTGGTGTATGATTATGTCTTCATGCAGATTCTCTCCCGTTTTCACTTTTCTTGCCTCATCTTCATTTAAACTGATTGAAAGGAATCTCTAAAAACCTTGGATCTAGAAATACGACAAATTATGGTTGTCGTTTCAAATCTTGCATGCCATTTCAAACACCTGCAGTTAAATAAGCAGATCCATAAGATGTTTTTTGTTGTGTTTTTAAATGGGTTAATCAGTGCATACAGTGCTTTTAAACTAAAGTTGGAAGCTCTCAGAAAGGAAAAGCTTCTGGGTTTGAGACTTTAAAAATAGCCTGGGCAAGACACTAATAAAACATACTGTAGAGAGCAATCTCAGAATGGCATGGAAATAATTTAGATGATCTAATAGGTCTCACTGCTATCTTGTGAGTCTTTGAGAGGCTTTAATATTGACTCAACATGAGTTTAGTATGTAACACTAACACCACCAAGCCCTTTCAGATTGTAATGGACTTCAACAGAAAGAGGTGCAATGTTAAAATACACCTTCAAAACAACTTAAAAGAGTATGGACATGATAATAGATAGCAGTCACAGTCTGGAACACGCTGTCTCTTCGAAATAATTTCTGTCTTTAAATGGTATGTTCAGAGCAGCAGGTTTTGGATCCTGTAATAAAATTTTAGGTAGGAAGTCTTCAAAATGTAACAAAATCCATTCCCAGTGTGTACTTCTTGACTGAGCTGATTAGGCTGCACTAGCTTTGATTTGTTTAGGACAGTAATAATTATGTTCTTGGGTTGTCTTGCTATATGAAATAGTGCTTCCTGTTTGAGTTTCAAAGGTGATTCTTAAGTATCATCAATTCAGTACTCTCAATTTTACCTTTTACTGCTTTTGGCAGGCCTTTTACCTCCTCCTCCCCCCCCCTCTTTTTAAGGTATATTTTTATCCCTGCTCAAATCCTCCTCCTTTGCTGAGCAGCTGCCATTTCAATATGTTATTTTTATCCACACGAGTGAGTGTGCTGCATGCTGCATAGCCAATGACAGCCTGCAGAAGCCTTTCCCTGGAGACTAATTGCATCTTCTTTACAATGTATTCGGCCTTCGTGAGTTGAGCCTGGGATCCAGAGACTGATTTCTGAATCTGGGTCTTCCAGATGGCAATTTGAGCATGACTGTAATAGTAGTAGATTGACTAAATATTTCCTTGTTAAGTGACACTGAACTGTCTTTAAATACTTTATAACCACAGACTGTTTTATTACTGAAATATCCTATGGTTCAGTTCAGAATATAAGGTTATTGCCTGGAAATTATGCGAAGTGAAATGGATTAAAGAAGCAGGCCCATACATCTGCTTCTGGCACTGCAAAGCACTCCTGCAAAATTTGGGTGTGAGTAGCTCAGAATTTGCATGAATGCTGTGAGTTGAAATAGTCTCTAAAGAAACGTACTTGCACACAAAAAGGAAGGTTTTGGAAGCAGCATAAGGTCAGAGTATACATACAGACACTGGGAGAGAGAGTTGAACAGCAGGGCTAAATTTTACGGGTGGAAAGGTAGAATGATGAGAACTGGCACCATTTAGGATTTCTCTGGGCAAGTGGATATACTTAACTATTTTTAAAAGCAATCATCAGCTCCTTCATATTGATCTGCAAAACTATCTCAGCTGTGAAGAAAGAATGTAAACCTCATAAAGTGTTCTTTGATGAAAGGGACCAAAATAGTTTTGACAGCATTTTCTGAATATCAGATAATAAATTGAACAAGTTGTTTCTTTTCTAGCTGTGGATTACGCAATGTGCTTGCATTAACTGAGTGGAATGGGCCATTTGGCTTCCTACATAAGCCAGAAAATTAATGAGTCTGATGAGAATCAGTCCCAATTTTGCCAGGGGCTAAACAGCAAAGGCTATGTTTCCTTTTACAGAAGTGGTCCCTTTATATCAATGTGAGCTATTTGAAAGTGTAAAATAACAGATTATGAGGTTTTTCTTAGATTTTAAACCCATCTTTGTTTTCATAGCCATGAAGAATTGCCAGCAAACATGGAGGTTGGTGGCTAAGTTCAACTTTTCTTCCCTGCTGTTGGTCTGTGTGAAGTTATGTGATGTAGTTACCGAGTTCTGAAAGCGAAAGGCCCCTGGAAGTGTGTACACAGACCTGTACTGGCACTGCCTCATCTTCACGCCTCTGCTGCCTGGTGCATGTGAGTGAGCTTTCACAGAGGAGCTGTGCTGATCCCACCTCAGACTCCTGAGAGCAGCAGCAGTGGTTGATCTTGCTTGGCTGCCTTTTCTCAGAACAGGCTCCTCTAAGGTTTACTCATTTGCAAGTTTTTAATGTATCCAGCTTAGGGTAAAATGCACAGAAACTCTTGCTTCTGCGGCACCAGGCTGTAGACAATTTTTTGTAGACAATTAGATTTGCCCCAGTTGTCTTTGGAAGCTGTCATGAATTACTGTCTTGAATGGTTCCTACTCAGGATCTTCTTGAATTTTACCTCCTATGCAGTAACCAGGAAAGGCTAATGGGATTTACAGACTTGAGTGCATATTAATTAAAAGGAAAACCAATTGTTCTACTGTCTCGTAATATTGCTGAACTGGGTCTAATAGCAATAAACTACAACACATGCAGGTGGAGCTGTGATGGGGGAAACGCAGTCTATGTGAGGTTTATTTGAAATCAGCAGCTCCCATTCCTGTTGCAATCCACTATAGCTAGTTGGGTTTGAGTACTATTAAGAAGTGAGGACATACTTTCTTTCTAAATGCAGCCAATATTCAACATTTTGGGGTAATAGCCAGTATTTTTAGTCTTTTGGTATGCTTTCCTCCCCAGTTCCTCTCTTGGCAGCTGAAGTGTTTGTTGATTTATCTCTGATGTTTGTGTTTGCCAGAGCCTTTGTTTGGAAACAAGACAACAACCCAGTAAGAAAATGGAATCACC